ATTTTATTAATATTTAATCATATTTTAACTTTTTCCTATATTATATATCATATGAGTGAGTCTTTGGAGTGTGATGTAGCAGAAATGCAGAAATAAGTAAATGGCATCCATGCAAAGCAGCTCTTCTTTCCAGAATTACTCCTAAAAGTGGTCCATTATTGAGAGTTTTTATATATAAAAAAAAAAAAAGTATGCAATCCTCCATGGTTTAACATTTTTACACTGTCTAGAGCTGCAGACAGTAGCCAAATCCAGTACTGTAGTATTAAATTAATATAAGACAGAGGTCTCTTCAACCATTTTACAGTTGGAGAGCGAAGAGGTGGAATTGATGAGGGTGAATATCATGTTGTATTAGATCAGAAAACACGTGGGGATGTTTTCTGGATGGCACTGGGGCTGTATCGTTATTAAAAGCTCTTTGCATGTGGAAACACACCTCCTGGGCCAGGGATGAGCAATGTTAGCTTCTTCATGATATCTTTCGATGTTATCCACAGACTCTCAAAATTATATCAGTAGAAGTAAATTATGTAATTTTTAAATTTTTTACAAATGCTGAAATCACTTTCAGCACTGTTGCATGTGATTTTCCAAAATTTCAAGCGAGAACACAGTAGAGGGAAAGCTGTGTTACTCTATGGTGGTAAAAATCAGAAGGAGTCTAGTAGCACATTTTCTGATTACCTAACTGTATTAAAAGGCATAAACTGTCATGAACTGCAGCTCACTTCATTGGATGCATAGAGTAGGTAGACCGAAGTAGAATCATCGTGGAGACTTCATAATCTTGCCTGAGAACTCTGGGATCAGATTTGCCAAAATGTGACAAGATTTTATTATTTATTTATTTTTTTCTCCTGGAAGGGATATCCACATGCTTGTGAAAAATCCTGCAAAGGTACCCAGTGTCTAATTACGGGGTTGTTGTTCCCTGTCATAGGCTATTCACTGAGGTGGCAAGGGAATTCTGGGAGTTGAAGTCAACACATCGTAAAGTTGCCAAGTTTGAAAAACAGTGACCTAGAGATTAATTTAGCCCTCCATAAAATGATGCTTTCCAGGTATGTTGGGACTGCAACTCCCAGAATTCTGAGCCAGCTGGCAGAGAAAGCTGGGATTTGTAGTCTGGAAGGCACAAGACTAGAGAAAACTGCATTAACTTGTGTAACTATGTGCTAGGCTCTAAAACTGCATCTTCTGATAAATCTGGGTGTTCGTGAGATTAAAGTACGGGAAAAACATACTTTAATTATGAACTGATGGTGAAACAAAGAATGTATGCATTCTTGCTGAAAAGATCCACCTTTCAAGTTTGCAGTGTCAGAGGACATTTGCTAGTATGAGGCTGAATAAATTAGGACATTGCCAGGGTGATCTGGCAACAACTTTCCATACAAATAAAAACACCCAATTAAATATCCAGATGAGTCATGATGGAGCCTGAACTATAATTCCTGAAAATTAAGTTATTGAGATTTCACGGATTTCATGCTAGCAACCAAATTAAGTTGGTTAAGTTCAGGTATTTAAGGTGTGGTAATTTCTAAAAGCTTGCTAATGTAAATAAGCAGTGGTTAGTGTTAGTTATCATGGCATTTCATTCTATGACAAATCATTCTTATTCTAATTGTACAGCCTTCGCTTGGTGAAAACAACCCTGAGTTTTCTAAGGTACCGCCCTGTATTCCCTGGTTCCTGAAAACATTTTTTTGTGCAATCTCTCAAGCAGAACTTTATAAAGAGACTCGTTCCCTTGACTATGGGACACTTGGGTAGACTTCAGTGGTTCGCGGAAACAAATAATTCTTTCATTATTTTGGCAGTTCTCAGGATGAATTTTGCAACACTTCTGCTATAGTGGCTCTGTCTACCCAGCTCAGTCAAATAAACTTCCTGTAACCACTGAATCATTAACTACTTTCAATACAGTATGCAAATCAGGCAGAGACTCTTCTCTTGAGCTGTGTTCATTATATCCTCGCTCTTCCCTCAGATCATGGTCAAGACACATCGTGTAAGAGGCGATACCCATTCTACAGAATGGTAAGTAGTCTCAAAGAAGAAAGAATCAAATTCAATTCAGTTTATTATCTGGAATATTGTGAAAACTTTTCTATGCTTTGTATTTATGTCTGTGGTTAGATATGAATGCTTAGATGCTTAAATCAACAGTATCAATAAAAACAACAATCTTTTATCCTGAATTTTAAACAACTGTGTAAACAATTTTTAAAAATAATAGTTCTGCTTTTAGCACTAATACTAAAGTCTGCTTCCTTAGTCATTATGATTATGCAGTTTGAAATTATTTTATTAATAAGGATATTATTGGATAGTTGTATATTGGAACTTTTATTCCCAAATATCCATAATTTAAACACACACACACACACACACACACACACACATATGAGTTCAATCCATGCCTATTCTGGAATTGCCTTCTTCTTTAAGAAACCTTGTATGTAATTACTTTTCAAAAATGAGGCATTGTGTATGCTGTTTTGTTGTTATGTAATCAATATCGACTTTTGTTCTCAGTTATCTGCTATTGATAGTTTGATCCTTCTCTTTGGTCTTGAGTTAAATTTAGATTGAATTAGCAACTTTAATTCTGATTGAAACCAAATGGCAAACATGTCTAAATCAAGTCTGATGGGGTTCAATGGAGCTCATCTACATTTGACTGATAGACAAATTATCTTGACACATTTTCAACTGACTTTAGAGCAGACCACAGGGTTAAGAATGCTTGATAGATTATCTCTGGGGATCACTTGAGGGAACCTGATTTTGTTGGTTCTTATTGAATTATCTTGGGCTTTCAATACCATCTACCATGGCATCCTTTTGGAATTACTGCAATAATACTGCAGTGCTTTCCAATATCTCTATGAAACTGGGTGCTATAAGTATGGTAATGGCACCAAAATCTATTTCTGGATAACCTCCTCAAGTAATGGTATGGTTCTTCTGAATACCTGTTGGTGTTGGCAATGAGTTGAATGAAGAATTGACACTGAATCCATGAGAGATAAATATGTGTACTGTGAGTAATCACAATTTCAGAGAGATAGTAGATCTCCTGTTCACTCTCTAGAAAGAATAATCAATTTGAAGGAATTTTTGGATGTGAATCTCAATTTTTGCTGGCTGAAGTTGAGATTCCTCAGTTCAGGATCTCCTGTTACTAGTTTCAGTTGAGGCACCAACTGTGTTTCATCCTGGAAGGAAATAACCTTAAAACTGTGCTATAAGCTCTGGTAACCCTCCAAGTTACTACTGTAGTGTTTTATACATAGGCCTGCCTTTGCATTTAGTCCAGAAACTTTAATTGGTACAGAATCCAGCATCCAGGGGGGCTCTGAAATAACTCAAGTGATATTATATTGCATCCTTGCTAAAAGCATTGCACTAGCTGCCACTGCAGCCATTGCACTACTGCCATGCCAAGCTGCCACTAAACTACTGCAATGCGCTCTACATGGGGCTACCCTTGAAGAGTATCAGGAAGCTTCAGCTGGTCCAGAATGCGGCTGCGCAAGCAATTTTTGGGGTCCGAAGAAGGACCCATATAACACCTTTGCTCCGTGAGCTGC